GTATCTGGTGCATTCAAAATCTGAAACAATTCTTTTCGACAAATCGTTTGAAATTTAAAAGTTCATTCAAATTGGAGTTCACTAATTTTTTGCATAAAATATAGTTGATTGGAGACTAATTCAAATCTTCATCTCCTTTTCCTCCATGGAATCCACCACCACAATATTTTTTGGTTTTGGCATTACACTTTTTATTTTTGTGAAACCAATCGATAATGGTGCAAATGTTCTTAGAAATATAACATGTTTCCGAATGGAACTAATTGCTTGAAAGAAACTATTCGCCGCCGCCGCTTTGCGCGGGCAAACGGCTAGTGTGTGTGTGTGTGTATATATATATATATATATATATATATATATATATATATATATATATATATATATATAATTAACTATTGTATACATGTGTGTATGTTCATGTAGCTTCAAACAATAATTAATTAAAAAGCATGGATATGTCATATTATCCATATTATCCATATAAGGCTTTTTTAAAATGTAAATTGTCTATCTTATCACTTTATATTTTAGTATATGTTTAATATTTTAATTATAATAATAAATATTGTTTAAAAGTTTCTTTCACTTATTAATAATAACAAGTGGTTTTAAAATTAATAAGCAATAATTATAAATAATAAAATCAAATGGCATGGATATGTCATATTATCCATCTAAGTCTCTTTTGAAATGCAAATTGTCTATCTTATCACCTTATTATTTAGTGTATGTTTTACATTTTAATAATAATTTTAAGTGTTTTTTAAAAGTCTTCTTTAACTTATTATTAATAATAAATGGTTTAGAACTAATGAATAACAATTTTAAATGATAATAACATCAAATTATAAATTACATTTAAATATAAAAAAAAATGTATTTTAAATGAACATCATTATTGAAATTAGAAAATGATCGCATAAGTAAAAATATAATTAATCAACAATAATAATTGTTAAAAATAATACTAAATAAATAATTGTATTTACTTCTATTAATGAGGAATGTGGGTTTATATCAATGAATACTATTGTTCAAAATAATAGAGATTATACATATATATATATATATATATATATATATATATATATATATATATATATATATATATATATATATATATATATTAGTGTAAAAATAGTATCTCAAAGTTAATGTAAATAACATAACCATTTTAAACATATATTTTTCAATATTTTAACAATATATTTTTAATCTTCCTTACGCAACGCGCAGGAATTCGTTTAGTAAAGCTAAGACCCAAGATTTGAAGGACCGCTTTGCAAAGCGTCAATCTTCTCCAAAAAAAAAATAAAGAAATAAATAAATAAAGAAAGAAAAAAAATCCTTCCAACGGGTCGTCATTTGGAAGACACAACAATGAAATTATGAAATAAGCCTTTATCCGTAGCTTTCATCATAGCAAATCGGAGTTCCTTCAAATCGTTGGATAATGTTACTTTTTTCTTTAAATGCATGTCTATTCCCCCAACGCCAATGAAAATTATATCTCTTCGGATCCCATTATTCACTTACTCGAGCATCTTGATTAAAGACCAAATCAAAGAGCCTCCCAATCCCTAAGAGGAATATCCAAGCACCAAACATCCTTCTAGAACCTCATTTGAGTCTCAACCCCACCACTCTATATATGTAATTAGAAAGAATACAACCATTCTCATGGAGGTGATTAATGGAACCTATAATCTTTTGCCAAACACCCCCTCCAATTCCTATTCTCGAATCTTTCGAAAAACCACCACCTTCCCCATGACAAAATTTGACAATTTTAACCCGAAGAGGTCCCTTGTCACTAAGAAACCGCCACTTCCATTTATAAAGAAGGCCAAGGTTAAAAACATTCAAACTATCAACCTCAAGACCTACAAGTTTCTTATTTAAAAAGTAAAAATTTACTATAAAGGTTTATAGTTTCATGGGATAATGACTTAGGAGGGTAATAACCTTTCCCGTTTGTCCATATTAGGTCTCCAACGTATTTTTTGTGTATATTACACCATTAAGGTTGTTATAACCGTTTATAAATAATCCTTTTACTGTCTTCTTCCTGTTAAAAGGACTATTTGTAAATTGTTATAATAACCTTAATTGTGTAATACGCACAAAAAATACGTTAGGGACCTAAAATGGTCAAACAGGAAACGTTATTACCCTCCTAAATCATTATCCCTACATAATACAACCAAGATGGTTTGGTTCAATTTTCTCTTCCTTTCAAGCCAACTAAATACGAACCCATGAAGTTACGTTTCTTAAACCACCGAGAAACTAAATTATTGACTTTTTTTTAATAATTGGGAATGAGATAATTATATTAAAATATTATTAATTTTATCCAAATATAACACACTTCATAGTTAATATATATATATATATATTAAGGAAATAAAAGTTAGAAACAGTACCTGATCAGGGTATTGTTCCTCCGGTGACCGCAGTGGTTAGTATTTACTTCCTGATCCTTCCACAGATTTCCTTATCTCTACTCCAAATCATACACATCTCTTTCTTCATCGTTTCCCCCGGTTCTCCATTGTTACTGTTTCACCATACGCCTCTTTCTCCATCGGATTCTTCCCGACTCCCTTAGTCGCACCCTCCATTATCTCTAAAATCCTCAATCTACACAAATGGAAGTTACATATCGACACTCATGTTGTCTCCGCACTTCGCATCGCCACCTCCGGTCATCTCCACCGCAGGTATGTTTTCTTTTCATTTTTTTTGCTGATAACAGAGATGAAGCAACCGATCATAGGGTTACTCTAACTCTACACCGCCTCCACTGCTTACTTCCTACATCGATCTGCCTTCTCTCTTCTATTCTCCTCCACCGCTTGTTTTATATTGATAGAAAGATAAAAAAAAAAAAAAAAAAAAAAAAAAAAAAAAAAAAAAAGATGAAAAAGATAGGTTGATATTTAATTTCTCTTTGGTTTTCAGTATTTACAATTTGGTTATCAACAAAACGACATGGGATACACATAATAACGACAAAATCGTAAATTTCGTCTCTTTGATATGTCAAAAATTGGGACTTTGGTGCAAAATGTATTGAAGTTGCACCCATTGTTGAAAATAAGAATTTTATTGTAAATTTGGTTCAAAAAATTTCAAACTTTTTATAATGACAGATTTGTCTTTGGTATTTTCCTTTTTTCTATTTTTACTATTATTTTACCATTTTTCTAATTAAAAAAAAAGGACAACAAGAAACACCCCACCCCTACCACCTACTCACTCCCTATCTTACATCTTATTCCTTCTTCTATTTAGTAAGATATGGAAATATCATCGCCGGACACCACCGCCGCCGTTGGACACCACCACCACCACTAACGACACCACAAGACACTCATTTTTTTAGATTTGCAAACTCAAACATAAACAAACGATTTTTCTACGAACTCAAGTTTTCCAAAACATTCAAACTACAACAAAACACTCAAGAACGAGAATACATTTTCCAAATTTGTAACATCAAAAACCCTAGAATCATGAAATAAATTATCTAGTTCTTCAAACAAAAATGCTAAAAACTCAATTTTCCATGTTTGAAAACCCTCATCCTTCTCCAGCTCGATTCTAGCAGACGACAGTAGTGGCTTAAGACGATCAACCCTTTCTTAGATCTACGTTGCCACCGCAGATTGAAGCAGATGAAGACGTCGCCACCTCAAATCAGAGCAAAGGGTTGCACAAGTTTATAAATTTGTTGTTCCGCTCTCTTTTTCCTTTTTCAGCGATGTCGACGCCTCCAAGATATAGATAATATCAAATCTAGACTTTGTAGAGGCGGTGGTGGCACAAAAATCATCGAAGCTAGGGTTTTTATATGTGGCAGCGACGGTGATTTTCTCTCTCACCGTTTTGCCTCTCCCCTTCACAAACAGAGTCAGAGCTAGAATTTATAAAGACGAAAGAAGGCAATGAATATGGGTTGTTTTTAGCGTTGTCATCATCTTCGTCTTATTAGGTTGAGGGTTCCGACAACGTCTGGAGCTTCCGGAGACCGAGGGTTCCAATGAAGGCAACATTTTCCGTCATATGGAGCTGCTTACCTGAGCCGTTTGAAGATTCGTTTGTATTCGATATATATATATATATATATATATATATATATATATATATATATATATATATATATATATATATATATATATATATATATATATAGTGAGAGAGAGAGAGAGAGAGAGAGAAAGGCATGTCTGAAGCGTTTCGACAACGGTGGCATTTCCAGTAGTGGTTGTTTCCAACAGTGATGGTCTCGGGAATATGCAATGGTTTTCGGTGAAAAATATAGAGAGTGAGTATATGAAGAGGGATGTGGGTTGAGTGGGGTTATGATTTGGTTTTTCTTTTATTTTAATTAAATAAACTTTAAAATAAATACAAAGAAAAGGAAAAAAAATAGAAAGGGCAAAAATTTACTTTCAAACACACTCAATTTTAAAATAGGAAAAAAAAAACGCAACAAAAAATTTATTTTGGACAACTGATGCAACTCCAAAATATTTTGAACCACTGATGGAAAATATTTTCGATCAAAATCCCAAAAAAAAAATTAACATATATTAGAGGGAACAAATTTGCAATTTGATCCATAATAACACATTGCAGTTGGTCATACCTACATTTAATATGTGCGGTAACAATCACATCATTTAATATTAAAAGTAGGGTTGGGCCTTAGCATTTAAAGAAATCATAACTATGCGAGAGTTACTTGAGCGGTTGATCCGAATTATCATTTTCAGTCTTAATTTTAGTTTGGACCATTTATTATTATTATTATAGAAAAAGAAAACCATAATTACTAAGAGTGTGTTTTACACACAGTACAACAAATGCAATATGATAGCCAATTAAAATTCCACAACCCCGTTAATTTTTTTGGTATGACACCTCCAAAAACCTCTGTCCACTAGGCTTATAAAAAACATCATTTTAAAAGCATAATAGATTATATTTATTACGTGAAACAAAACTAACATGGGCCGAATAGATTGAACCAGACTTTCTCCGAACACCAAATAAGGACTAGATAAAGCTATTTTTTAACAGGGAAATTACATTATAGTGCATCGAACTTTTAACCTTTGGTTTAAATGGCTCCTAAACATTTTTTTTGCTTTATTGCGGCATAAGGTTGTTTAGAGCTTTTTTTAGTCCGTTTCACCTCTAACAATCGGTACATGTGGCTACATATACATTTTCAACACAAGTCAACATTGACGTGACATTATCTGATTACATGACATTCTAAACCAAACCTTCAGCACCTTGGTCTCTATTTTTTCTGCTCATCGTCTTCCCTAATACACAACAAATGAAGAAACCCCAAAACCAGAACCTCAATATTTGCCCACGAGGTAAGCATTGGAACCTAGAAAAATGGTTCCCCTAATCATAATTCATCATATGAAAACAAGAAAAGCCCATCAGTTCTTCGAAGATAACAAGAACACAATTTCAGAGAAACTTTAAAAGAAACTTTTGAAGTTGGATACCTTATTAAATCCTAAGATATCGACTCTGAATCTGTAGTCAACAACAACAACAATCAAAATCACAACCTTGGAAGATCTTGATCACTCGCAAGACTCAAAACCCAAAAGGAATTCCCCCGAGCAATTTCCCTCACCGTCGATCAAACATTTGAAAACTTAAGATTCCATTTGATATCCCCATCAATCCTTCAATAAGTTCCTCACCCTGTAACCAAAATACCAATCCCTAGGAAAAAATTGATCATTTAAGGTCAGATGATTACTCCGATCTCTCAGAATCTATATCGAAAATAGAAGATACAATTTGCACAATGATGGCATGGTGATAATCATGGCTAATGAAGGTCTCGATTGGAGCTGATTGTAGGTATGTGACAAATAAGTGGCGGATAATGGTATCAGGTTTTTTTCGTACCATAGGGCTTGTGATGAAGCTCAGTTTGGTGGTTAAAAGGTGGTGGTGTGTGTGTGTGATAATGGTGGTTTCGTTGTGGGGTTTTTCATGTGGTGTAGGTTCTATAGTTGAGTAGTTGACAAAGAAGCATGGGCCCATGGTGTATGGATGATGATGGTGAAAATAAATATGATTATGGATGATGTTGTAGTATATGAAAGGGTTTATGGGTGGAAATGGTTTTTCGAAATCACAAAACTCTTTTTAAATCCAAAATAATTATTTCCATGTTGAGTTGCGAAATATTCCTTCTATTTTATTCTCTTAAAACTTCTTCAATAATCACCATTAGAACAAGCCTTACTCGGATCCACCATCTGATCATTTCAGAAACACATTTCAAGTCTTCTTTGGTATTAGCCTTACATATTTCAGCTCTTGCAAAAACACTATTCAAGCAATCAAAACTGTAACAATGTTTGTCTTCTAAATAACATTTTGTTCTGAACTTTTCCTTCTTCAAGCACTTTATACACAATTCCCTACAGTTCTTTCTAAATAAGTCTTTCTCTTATTTCTTCTAATCCTTCTTGTAGATCTTGAGATTATGTAGTGGTACTTCTCTTCATACTCCTGGATACTTCAACATCCACCTTGATCACTTCCATGCAATAATTTCAGATCATACGAGTAATATGTAAAAGCTATGACCCAAATTTCAATTCATGCTTCTTCGGAATTCCATAGAGCACAGTCCAATCATGATGATTCATAAAGGTTAAATCAACAAAATTAATCACATAAAGATCTATGTTTTCACCACTTAAGATTGTGAACCTATAGTTAGTGAATTCATCAATCTTAGCTTCTTCAATCTTCTTAACAGTCATGATTCACTTTGAAGACTAAACTTCATATTGAGGTTGAGAATTGTTGAGATAAAACGTGAAAAACTTCTTGAATGCAACAATATTAGATAAAGGAAGTTCGGCCATATGATTAAAACTTCTAAACAAAAAGGCCCTTCCACACATTGGTAAGTCCAATTGACATTCTACAGTGTTCTCAACAAGATACAATGAGTTTTGTTCAAGCCAATACTTCTCAAATTTCTTGATTGCTACATATTTCATTATTTGAATAAACCATTTAGGCCACAAAAGTCTTAAAGTGGTCTCTATTACTTCTTTATCTCTCTTTTCAACTTCAATATGATTCAACTCATCCTAATATAACTTGTTTCTTTCTAATTCTTCATCCTTTTCCTTTTGTTCCTCTTTCTTAACTGCAGTATCAGTCGGATCAACTTCATTTGGAATACGAATTTTAACAAAACTTGATCTAAAGCCATCATCATTAAATTTCTGAGAATGAAACATATTATCTTCCAGTTACCTTTTCAATGATCTATGACCAATTTGGATCTTTTGGTGCTTCATCTATTTTGATCAATTTATGAATAATATACGGACTTTTGATTTGAACAGGTTCCTTTTGAACTTTCGCATTTGATTCCTCCAAAACAATATTTTCAATTTCATCTCATCCTTATTCTGAAGCAGCCTTGATACTCGCAACACCAGGTTTTACTTGAGAAAAAAATCGGAGCAAGCTTTGCATCCAACAATTGCGACAAATAATAAATATATGGAGCATCCTTCTATTCCACAATGTGAACCAATCGTTGATTTATTTTAGAGTTTCTTTCTTTCGTCAAAACCAACTCCTTTTAAACCTTCTGAAACTCTTTTTTTGTTTGAGCCAATTCCAACTGTAAGGATTTGATTTTCAGTTCCTTGTGTAACATCCCAAGTTCAAAAGCAAGAGTTCAGGGGTGTAAAGTGTACATTGAGGGAGCTACTCGATGAGTAGGTGTGGTTACTCGTCGAGTCGGGGTGGGATTTGGTCACGAGTTAGGTGACCAACTCGCCGAGTCGGTAGCTAGACTCGACGCGTTGGTGCTGGGAAGAGAAAAACTCTAATTTTAGGGTTTGCACCCTATTTAAAGGATCTACTGTCCACCCCTCAGCCTCTTACGACCCTTTTGAGATCCAAAAACCCTAAATCGTGAGTGAGAGCCCTTGGAAGCAATTTGGAACCTGGATAAGTGACTTTGTGAAGAAATCTTGAAGATCAAGAAGCTTGGATCAAGGAGATTTGTGGAGATTTGGATTATTCTTCAGTGGGAGGTCATTCTGGAGGTAGTGAATCGTTATCTTGGCCTTCTCCTTTCTAGATCCATATTTAATGGAGTATAAGGGTTTGTTTGAGGATAATATGATGAGATTTTGGTGCATAAGTTAGATCTGGAGTTGAAACTCTAGATCTAAGTTCTATTTGGATCCTATATGCAGAAAGTCCTTTGAATTGCTATGCAAAAGCCATCCCTCATGAGTTAAGTTCATTTATAGCTTGGTTTTTGACGTTTAGGACATGAAAGCACGTAAAGGTAGCAACTTTATGTTGTTAATGCACTCTAGGGACCCAAATCTACTGTTTGGAGCAAAGGAGTGGCTCCGTATCTTTCGATTATGGGAATACCCATATGAACTCGATGAGTCTGGGAAATGACTCAGCGAGTAGGGTCAGGGTTTGGTTCGATTAAGTTCCAAGTGAACTCGGAAAGTTTGGGAGATGACTCGGCGAGTTGGGTCACAGTTTGGTTCGATTAAGTTCCAAGTGAACTCGGCGAGTCTGGGAGATGACTCGACGAGTTGGTCTGGGGTTTCAGGCACCGAGTCGCGTAGTGACTCGGCAAGTCTGGGAGATGACTTAGCGAGTCAAGATGTTTATGGTGGGTTTTAGAGTTAGGTGAACTCGGCGAGCCACTAGGTTGACTCGGCGAGTAGGGTCAACCAGGAAGGTTGACTTTGACCAAGAGTTGACCAGCTGACTTTCGAGGGTATGTTGGTAATTTTGGTTCTAATGGTTATGGTTTCCTTGGAGTATCAGGTGGTGGTGTTCGTGGCGGTGATCGGAGTTTTGATTCTATCTCTCCAGCTCGGCAAGTGCAAGGTGAGTTATCCTCACTATATCAACAGGGTTTAAGGCACCAAGGTCGGTATCCTGGTTAGGATATGGTTATGTTGCATGAACTGATTGAATCGTTTGTTTGGCTGAGGATTGTTATGTGATTAAGTGTTTTATGTACACATGGTTGTTTGACTAGGGTTGGGTTGAGGCGGGTCCTTCTTTTTGCTGTAGGCCAACATACCCAGGGGGACTGATAACCCGTAGGCCCAGTGAGTGGTCCGGATAGGCTGAAGGCCCCAAGAGGGCAGTCCAAACATGTCGAGGCTCGAAGAGTAGACCGGGCCGACTAAAGGCCCGGTACGGGCGGACCAATCATACTGTAGACTCAGGGAGTGAACCAGGTGGACTTAAAGCCCGGTGCGGGCGGACCAATCACACTGTAGACTCGATACGCATGGTTGTTCTGTATTAAGATATGATAGGAGTATGGTTATATGTGGTTTGTATTTTGGGGGTAACTCACTAAGCTTTCGGGCTTACAATTTCAGTGTTTTGTTTCAAGTACTTTAAGAGATCGTGGCAAGGCAAAGGCGTGATCGTACTGATCCTCATTTTTACAATGATGTTTCTGGTATACTCTGATAATAAACAAATTGAAACCTTTTTGTAATAATTAATGGATTTGGGTTGTTTTTGAAAAGTTTAAATTTATTGGAAATTTTATGGATGTTACACCTTGTCAGTCAAATTTTCAATCATCTCTACTTTATTATCATACATTATAACAAGAGTGTTAATTGAATTAATAACACCATGATGATGTTCAGTGTTAACAACAATAATAGACATTTTAATATCTTCACTTCATTAAGAACTTAATCATCTTTGGATAAAGCATTTTAGGAAGTATTAAGAGCATATTGAACTTTAAGAGAAGCTTCATCGATCATTTTAGCTTGAGAATAAAATAACCTTCTGCTTTCACCTTGAATCCTCTTCAAAGTATTCTCATTTAGTAATCATCAAAATTTTGAAATTTGTAGGTGAGAAAGAATCAGGCCTACAAACCAAAGCATTGAGCTTACGATTCAACCTTTGATAATCTTTCCTTGTGACAGGAGTTGCAGAAGAATCTTCATCAAGATTGCTTTAATCATCAAGCAAATAAGCAGCTAGAATTGCTTCAACAAAAGTTTGAAGAATCCAAATTCTTGAACACCATCAACATCAGGAACATTAAATACATCAGTATGTTCAGAAACATACTCATCATCATTCTGAATTAATAATGGTTGGGTAATTTTGGTAGTAGTTATAGTAACCTCAGTTAAAATTGGTAGACGTAATAGATTTGAAGTTTTAACTAATGAGATTGGTAGAGGTTGAACCATTGTTTGAATCGGAACAATAATGGATGGATTAGAAGTAGTGGTTATAATTAGGGTAGTAGAAGTTGGTGGAGTGATAGGTGGTACGATTGGAGATTATGACTGCGAAAGGTTAATAATAGGTTCTCTAATGATATTACAATAGATATCATCATAATTCTGAACTGGAATCAGAGTTGTAGATGGAGCAGTAGTATTCACCTGAGCATTCTCATCAGAAGACCTTCCTATATCTTCAAGCATCAAAGCATCATCGTTATGAATATCACTGATCGTAGCCTCATTATCCTCATCAATTACAAATACTTGCCTATTATTCTTCTTTGTCTGTCCCTTAGAAGGTGTTTTAGAAACACCTTTATCAACTGCTTTCCTTTTTCGTTTTCCACTAGTTTATTCCAGAGCAACCGTGGACTCCAAAGCAGCTTGCATCGATGAAGACAAATATCTTAGACTAGGTTTAGGAATTTTTTGGTAGATTGAAACAACTTCATTATCTACTGGAACATCTTTGAGCATCACTTCTAGAATCTCTATGATATAATAAAAATCGTTCACATTAAAAGACGAGAAAGTAGTAGTATTCAATACAACAAAAATAGCCATCTGAACATCATCCATGGTTGGAACTCGAAAATGAGCACGTGCATTTCGAACCAAAATCGACCAAAACCTCGCATACGATATGTCTAAATTCTTTGTCAAAGAAGAAATACTTTGAGTAAATTGCACCTATAGAATTTTACCTAAGTCAATCTTCTTTCCAAAATACAATGCAAAAGCAAAGTCTGAAACAATTTGTTTGTATTATTTGAACCAGTAATCTTCTTAGAAAGACAAGGAAACAAAATCGTGAAAAAATCGTTACTAACCAGTGGTAACAAGGACTTCTTGAACTTAGAAAGCATGATCAAACCCCCTTATATCCCATTTAATAATAAGGTTTGATAATCGAAACAAAATTCAACAATTTTGGATTTGTATAATCTTCCCTAATATGTAACCCTAAGAGCTTGCAAAGCATTAATTTAGAGATGTGTGTCTTGTGCCCTTGAACTTCAAAGTTCATATAATCTAGCACAACATTATAATCTACAAAAGTATAAGCCAAGATGAAATCATATAAAGGAACATTTGAATAATGCATTAGGGCTTTCCTCAGGATTGAATGCTTAAAAACACACAACCATCGTTTGAACAACAATAAGATACATCGATTCATCAATATCCAAAATCAGCTTCTGATTAACCTTCACCATCATATGAATTGATGTTGTTGATTGATCCATGAAAGAGACATGATCGGAAGATGACTCCATTAGTGATTCCGACAAACACATCGTTGATTAAGAAAAGATGAGATAATTCTTCCTGCTATAGTACTTAAATTGTATAAAAGCATAAAGAGCTTTAATGTATCTGGGGCAAGGTATTTGTAGGTAGGAGAAACCAAAATGTTTATTTTGAATTTTGAAATGTATGGTAAATTAGGAAAGATGATCCGCCAACATGTCTAATCCCACGTCAATCTTGAGTACCACAACCATCATCACGTACCAGAGGTCCAACAAGAAGATACCACCCCATCCAGCTTGTAACTGATCGACAAGAATCAATAGGACCAGGTAATCACAACCATTTAGAATGCAACATGCCAATTCAGTTAAAACTAGTTTAATAACAACCAATCCACCTTTTAATTTACTAAAGTTGAAATAATACCCATTGGAATTATGACCAATGTTACATCATTTCTAGATAGAACAAAGCTAATAATATTTTCATCTTATCTTGAGAAGAATGACAAAAATCATAAACTTCACTTGGTAGAATCTTGGCATAAGTTGGCTTGACTCATAACCTCGATGATTCTAGTGAAAATGTGTGCCAAAGATAAAGAGGAATCAAAGTAAAAAAAATAAGAATCTTATGATATAAAAATATTTGATATGAAAGCAATATGATCACTAGCAAAGATTCTCTTCCTTCGAAGTCAACAGGGAATAATAAGTTCTTGTGTGGTTTCCCGTTGAATTACAATCATCAACTTGTTAAGAAGTTTCGAAGGGCTTATTTTCATAAGGCAATATGGGTAGGTTCATTTCCAAACATATGCGAAACTTAAAGTAAGTGTAGTGATACAAAAGAAAACACTTGATTGATCAGTATGATCAAATTCAAGTAATCATAGGATTTGATTAATATTTAAGTTCCAAGGTAGAAATGAATGTGCAATCGAAAATCTCACAATAATAAAAAGAAATACTAAACCTAATTTGGTAGAAATGGATTGAAATCAATCAATTTCATTAACATTTTGCAACATGAATAATTGAGATATTTTAAACATTGGAAAGTTCCGTCAATTCATGAGTTAAAAGTTAGAAAAATAAATTGTTCACCGACAATTCCTTAAAATGAGTTGTTTGGTGAGTCACACTATTATCATGGTGTTAATGAAGATAAGATCATAAACACATATTTTTGGCACACCTACATCCTAGTTGTTTCGGACTAAAGATGTCGTGGGATATGCATCATAGTGTGAGCATAGTGTAAGGAATATGAGATAAGAAGATGGAAATGTGTTTCTCACAATCTCAAGGTGACAATTAAATTTGATCATAACAGAACTCATACCTTGGGAAGGCTATGGCATTTTCGGGTTTGTGGTTGTATTGTTCAGGTCGTCTAGTACAGTGGGGATGGTAACGAATGATTTCGAGAACGAAATCTAATTTAAGTGGGGGAGAGTTGTAAAGCCCTGTTCTGAATTGACTCCTAATCTGAGGCTGTGGCATGAAGGTTGATCATCACAAGGATTATGGCTTTTAAAAAGGGTAAGATCTAGGCCATTTTGGGTGTGAGTGATGCATTATAAGCGTTCCGAATGTTCGGTTTGTGTTTTGGAGCCTAGGGGTATTTCGGTAAAGTGTCACTTTGGGCTTTTGTGGAAAATGGACTTTTGTTCAGAAGGTATTTAGGAATATATGAGTTGATAGAAGTGTAGGGCTTCTCGTTACCTTTTCGTGGATATAAGGATCGTCGAAAACGGACTTATAACGAAGAAGTTATGGCCTTCGGAAGTTTAGTGGTTTCAGGCTTAGTAGAGTACGTAGGGCGTACACAGAGAGTACGTTGGGCGTACTAGTGAAGAAGGCAGTACGCTGGGTGTACTTTTGGAGTACGTTGGGCGTACTGACCAGGATGGTCGCGAATTTCCTTCGTGGTACGCTGGGTGTACTATATGTACGTTGGGTGTATGCCAATCGGACCTGAACCCTATATTAGGGTCTTGGACAATATTTAAGCTCCTTATCTCATAACCTAACCCTAATATCTTCATCCTCCACCCTCTAAACATTAGAAATCGACCCTTAGCCCTTATTTGAGTGATTTTGGAGCTTGGATGGCCATTAGAGGAGTATTTTGGAGTTTTTGAAGAAGAAGGTGTTTAGATAAGAAGCAGGACACTGAAGAGAGCTTGTAGATCCAAAGGTTTTACATCATTTCCAGCCTATTGAAGGTATAAAGTTCTCATATTGGTGCTTCTACATCATAGATCTAGGTTCTCATGGATATTGTCCCTTTTTGGTTTCAAGAATGGATTCTTATGGTGCAAATTTGTTTCTGTACTTAGGGTTGCCACCCATGAAGTTATTTGAGTCCCTTGAGCAGTAAAGTTGCAATCTTTAAGGCCCATTTGCATCCATGCAAGTGATCTAGCCATTTTCATGAAGATAGTTGCTATTTTCCAAGTTGATCTCATTTTGGTGGGGTGCAAGCCACCAAGTGATCAACTTTATGGATTAAGAAGGATTATTAGACTCGGATCTAAAGTTTGGAAGTTGTGTCTTAAGGGATTAAGCAGTTTTGAAGAATATGGCTTATCAGGGGAGTACGTTGGGCGTACATACCAGTACAAGCCATGCAAGCTATACACTCAGACTGTAGACTTTGCGTTATTGGGCCTCGGTTTGGGGCCATGCCTTGGGTTAGCAGATGTTGGGCCATGATGGGCCACCAAGAGACAGTTAAGGGCCCAAGGGCTATTTTAGGTTTGGGGGGAAAGCCCATTTGATGAGTTGGGCCCAATTTAAAAAATTGGGCCATTGGAGGACTTTAATGGGCCTTAGTGAGTTTGGAATGAATAGAAAGGATTGGGCCTCGGTCATGGTCCAATTTAGATCATAGGGGGTAAAATAGTTATTTTACCCTTAGATGGATTCTCAGTTTTTGACTAAGTGTTTATTTTTGGTCATAATAGACGGGGAGTCATTGGAACAGTTGACAAAGATACCCTCACCCGAGTTTTCAGCATCCAGTTTGAGAGGCAAGTTTTCCTCCAGTAGGAACGGGTCTAAGGCACCAATGACGGCCTGTTTAAGTAGTATAGTATGTTGGGGTGATCCCGATGTCGGGGTTAGCCCGATGCAATCTATATGTTTCCGGACTTCGGTCTGATGTCGGGGTGGTCCCGAGAAGTAGTTATGTATGCTAGATGTCTTTGTGATTCATGCATGTTTATATGTTATGTGTTATGTGTTCCGGACTCCGGTCTGATGCTGGGCAAACCCGATGCAATATATGTCATTATGTTATATGTTATGTGTTCCGGAGTAAGCCCGATGTCGGGGCAGTCCTGATGTAAATTAGTCATTATGCCATGTATTATTTATTTTGGGGCAAGCCTGATGTATGCTAGTTTATGTGTTATATGTTGTAGTTCCGGACTGCGGTCCAATGCTGGGGCAAGCCCGATGTGGATTATGTGATTATATTATGTGTTTATGATATATTATGTTGTGTATGTGCCCGGGTAAGCCCAATGCCGGGGTGAGCCCGATGCCCGATGCGGTTGGATTTTGGGGTGAGCTTGATACCGAACAAGAGTACGATGTCGAGTAAGTCGATGTTAGGATTCGTATCAATGCAATTGGGAGTAGTCCCAGAGTTATATTATTTGTGATATTGTTACACCCCAAAACTGGAACGGTGGAAACGTTCGGGGGTGGAGGACGTCATGTTTAGTATCACAAGACATGCATCATAGTAATCAAAGTAATAAACAACCATTTCATTAGAAAGAAAGTGTTTACAATGTATGCGTTCACAAAACATAGACTACATATGTAAATAACAAAGCAAGACTCAAAGCTATTATATTCCATCTTCTGAATCCCATCGCGCGTACCTGTCTACTGGTTTCCTGAGAATACAATTTATTTTGAAAGAGTTGATCAGCATTTAAGATGGTGAGTTCATAAGATTTTAATGTTGTAAATAAGTTGTAAGAAAGTTGTAGAAAGTTGTAAGTTTTGATTAGAAAAGTTCGCCTGTTCCTCCAGAAAATCCTATACTTCTTGCTTTGATGAAAGATAAGTAAACAAACAATCGATTGTGTGTATCTACCCTAAGTCCACAACCAAACAAGGAACGGGAAATGAGGTGGAAGGCACACCTCCCATTGTTTGTTAGATCATCATTGTATATAAACCTGGCGCATTCACTTGGTACTCATGGAGTTAATTGAAATAGTTCCTTTATATTTTATGAAAACATTCTTTAAGAAAACCCTTATTTCTCTTAGTAAAAACGGCAACCACGATGGTTCCCTCTAT